AACTATAATTAACAGTTCTTTAAAACCAAAAAATACCTGTTTTGTTATTACATTTTGTTATATCCCGATGGGTATATTTTACCCTGTAAGTTCGTAAATGAAAAGGGAAGCTTTAAGGGAAGTTCTAGGTCACAGAAATTTTGGATTTCATTCCTGCATCTTTTCATCTGAATATCAAACGGAACATATAAGTACGCATCACAACCTGTCAATGCTGTAAAATCTGAAAGAGTCTGTTGCCAACTGTTTAAGGTTAAAATAAGTTTTTGTCGATCATTTACGTATATTCGTTTTCAGACGATTTTATTCTAAGAATTCACACATTAACGGCATTTCCCAGCTTTGGTAGCCGAAAAACATTTCTTCACAGTCCCATTGCTCATACCATTTATCTCAAAGACAAACATTTAACTTAAGTATGCTGATTTCTTTCCTTCTGTCTTTCCCATAACTGTATTGCTGTCATGCAGACGATTTGATTCGTTTTAATAGCAAAGGAGGACAATTCTGAAAGAAACGAAAGTAGAAAATAAGACAGGAACGTAACGAACAAGTTTCGAAACTCAGGAAAATATATTTCAAAGTAAAACTTTTTAATTATTTCTTCAAAAAAGTAATCTTGAAGCGGGAAATATACATGTAAAGACAGCTAAAGTAGTTCCGGCTGCTTAGTGCAAGCGAACTCTATATTGCATTGATGCAGTTATCAAAACACTTATTTAATCCAAGCAGAATCAAGTATTTTGAAGAAATTAAATGAAATAGTTACATGTATAACTTTAATATTTTTTGATCAAATGCTCTGGAACTAAGAAAGTAGTACTGACAAGAGGACACAGTGAAATGAGAAAGATCTCATGAGCATACGTGTACATGAGCTGAGATTGATTGATTGATTTTATATTGTTTAACGTCCCTCTCGAGAATTTTTCACTCATATGGAGACGTCACCGTATGTCGGTGAAGGGTTTCAAATTTTGACCTTTTCTCGGCACTCAGGGCCATTGAGCAGTGAGGGATCTTTATCGTGCCAACGCCTGCCGCTGACACGGGACCTCGGTTTTAAAGGTCTCATCCGAAGGACCCGCAACTTTCACTTCAAAGTGCCGAGCGCATGGCGAAGGAACAGTTGCTACCCATTTTAACGACTTGGTCAGTCGCAGCCGAGATGCGAACTCACGACCTTCCGGCCCCGGGATCATGAAGCATCTTAAGCTTAAGTCGAAATCTTCCTGTTGTAGGTAAATATTGTAGAAGTCAAACAAGCCAAAATCAAGCTGTATTAAATATTGTTTTACGAAAGTGTTGTCATTTTCAAAACTAGAGATTATTTCACTAATTGATGAATATTTAACAGGGGATTGAAAATTTGACTTACGTCTAAATGTGTTTCATGATCCTGGGGCCCGATCACTGAGCGAGCGCTCTACTGACTGAGCTTCCGTGAACGGTGAGCTTAGATTGAGTGCAATTTCTATATCTCCATGAACCCACTGTGACAATCACTTGTGTATCAGGTTAGCTTTACTGCCTGTAACAATGATTTCCCATAGTTCTTTGTCGTTGCAAAAGTCACGTGATTTAAATTGGCTGGGACATTCCCGGGTGAGCTGCCGTGTGAGTAACACGTATATTAGAGGGCAGTCGAGATTGCTACAGGTGCAGTATATTGTGCAGTATGCAACGTACAGAACCTAAGTAATAACTAAAGGCACGGAGAGCAGACCGTGGTATGTATATTTTGTATTTTTGAATTTATTCTTAGAGTGTATTTTGTAAGTATTCTTGTTTATCGAGTGACCTAAATATAACCTTGGCTTACATTCACTTGTCTAACTTATCTGTGTGAGCAGTCAAGTGTATCGGTAGCGAGAGTTTGAATACCCAGTTCTTTTACTGTCGATAGAATATTGTATGACTTTATTTGTATCACTTTTGAGTGTTTCCTTGGGTGTATTTTTGTGTTCGATAATTTTTTTGGTGAATTTTTAAAATGTATTGGGCAAAAGTGAGCAGCCGGAAGTGGTCGCCATATTGTTTTGAATTTGTAATACAATGTATGCTTTATATCATAACTTGTTGAATTATTCAGACAGACATATTTCATTTATACTTTATCTAAATATCATATCATTAAGTGTTGCCATTATATTATGTTGCCTTAATGAAAAACTTATGAGTCCTGTAAATTGTAGCGTTATGACGTGGGTGAAGTACGGGGACGTAGCTGAGTGAGCTTACGATCCAGATGGGACAATAAAGTCAAGCTTTCTGAGGGTTATCATCGCCTTTCCATAAGTTCCAGGACCACAGCCCCTGAAGTGATCGGACGATTGATGTACCCAAGCTGAAACTTTTGGTGTTAATCGAGATTCAGATAAGTCGATCTGAAAGGAGTTAGAACTTAGAGCTCGTGATTGTGGCAAACCTAGATAAACAGAGAACTGTGCAAGTGAACATTACAGGGCAACAATATAAATCATAAACAGATATAATTTGATAAAGAAAACATTTAGTCTGTCTGTCTGTCAAGTTATAAGGTTTATTGATTTTTTTTTCTTATAAGTATATGTGAAAGAGAGGTGTGGTAGTGATTGTGTATACATGTGTGATTATGTAAATATATTTTTCTTTCATTTTTTTTGTAAATAAATTTCTTTAATTGAAACTATCTTGAGTGTTATTTGGAGATAGCCTGGCTCAACCACGTTACACCTACACTGATATTTTATTACTACAATTGCATAATTAGAAAAATGCAATTCTTTATAATTTATTGATTCCTATTTGAGATAATCTGGTTTATCCCCCCACTCCACCCCCCCCCCCCCAAAAAAAAAAACCCCAAACATACAGAACTTTGTTTAGAGTCACGAATACACTGGCACAATGACATTGTTGCTGGCATTTGACCTCATAATTCTTTCTCAGATAATTCCTGACCTATATTGTTCTTCTTTTGTGATACATGTACAAAGGTGGGATATGTACTAATACTGGATGAATGTCTATAAAAATCCTTGATATTCAAATGCCGGGTATTTTACAATTGGAAAATTCTTATTTTTGGACCATTCTGATTCATGGCAGGTTTTCTCAAAATTCGGAGGGTGGAAATAATTGGCTACCATGACAACAGAGCTTTAAAAAACAGAATTCTAAAAAGTATATCATGACTTTGTCTTTTGTTTTACTGTTCATTTTTACCCCCACTCTTTTGAAAGAATGCACGATATTTAAAACGCTATTTTTATTAACAAAAATTACATTTTTTGTTTGCATCCCCTTTAAAAGTTTAAAAAAAATTCACTTACCTATATTTTTCGAAAACATTTGATAAGTATAAATTTATAAGTTATTAAATGTTCAGAATTAACAACATTTCATGAAATCCTTGATATAAGGAATTTGAATAGTGACATACCATCAATATAGTCTCAGAAATGGCACAATTATGAGATTTCTTTTTTCATAAATTAGTACATATATTCCTCTCCTATCCCCGTCTTGTCTTCAAATTTTTTATTCTTTCAAAATTTTTCTATTATTTAATAAGCAATTTCAGTTCGAGAAGGCGAACATTTTTGTTCAGGGGCACTATTAAAAAAAGTCATCAGGCGTTTAGTGATTAGGGGTGACGTGCATATAGTAGTTATGTTTCCTACACAATTCTAAATATTTGGAAATTAAAGGGGGGTTTTCCCCCTCCGTATTAACGGCCATGTTATTCTTTGTAAAAGTAACAATTATATTTGAAAAGCTACTGCAACAATTACTAAGGTCAAATTGCTCAAATGAGGGTAAATTATTTGATCTTTGCTTATAAAGTTCCAACACAACATTCATCGTTTGTGATGTTTTAAAAAAGTCATACTTTTAAATATCTTGACCTTCAATTCCTTTGTATGTCGTTTGAATGTCATATCTTTCCACACACTTTATAAACGGAATACATAAAGTTTATTTCATTGATTAAATTTCGATACGCAAGAGCATGCATTTTTTTAAAGGGTAAACAAGAATATCTTCATATTAATTGTTGGTCCATTATTTATACACTGAATTAACGAAGAATATGGAGAAAACGAACAGAATTTAATTTCAAAGTCCATAACAAAATACAAAATAGGCGCAGAGCAAATAAGGACCTCCGAAACATCGGAGGTGCCATTGAAGAGTGAGCGTCCCCTGCTGACCGGTCACATCCGTCGTGTGCGCCTTGTCGTGATCGGGAAAAACCGCGAAAATCCGTCGTCAACCCAATATATAAATAATGGACTAACAATTAGTATAAAAAACGTCATGCAGCATTTGACTCAATGATAAATTGTATTTACTGAGAAGGTCGACCGTAGAACCTACGAAATACGGATTTTCCCGTTGTTTCCCGATCGTGAAAAAGGAGCACACTGCGGAAAGGGATGCTTACTCCTCTAATGCACCTGATCCCACCTCTGATGTTTTGGAGATTCGTGCTTGTTCTGCTCCTATTTTGTATTTTTTTTTATAGACTTTCAGATTGAATAATGTTTGTCATATCCTTCTCCATATCCTTCATGTACATGTACTGTAAATATACGCTTTTGAAAATTAAGTCTAAATATTAACTTCAGATAGAGCTTGACAATTAAAAGAAACTCCTTTAGGATTGGTTGACTTTTTACGTAGGCAAGCAATTAAAAAACCACGGTGTGTATCAGAAATACGCATTTCTTTCATTTATTTATATCATAATATCTAATTCATGGGAAAAAAATATAATGAGATGAAATTAGATTAAAAAAAAATATAATACAGATATATTGACGCTTTATTGGATAATAAGTTTATAATAATGTTATATAGAACACAATAGACCTATAACACCATAATCTGTCATTGTAGATTTGACTTTGTATGTACATGTACAAGTGACCTCACGATGGACTGAATGTCGTTATTCAATAACTTATGTTAAATAAACAATAAGTAACGCGTCACTTACACATCATGTGACGTAATCAGTTATGTTTAATCATCATTAGAGTCCCCGTTATATCATCACCATACTCAAGTGGCGGATTCCATGGCATGTACCAGTCTGACGACGACCAGGGACCGTTAAGGTTGGCATAGGAACACCAGTTATACCACCAGCCACCGCCTCGTCCGTGAATAGCAGCACAGTTATCACTATCCAACCAGTCATTGTTATCCCATTTGTCGTGGTCTCTGTCCAGGGTGGAGAATGACATCCAGGACAGATTTAGGGAAGATCTCCCCGTGTCTAATATTACGTCACCTACAGTAATCAAGGATAAAATATCAGACAGTTATATACGTCAGACGAAACCATTCCCATTTTAAAAAAATTATTTATATTTGTTTAAAATTATACTTTATATCAAATTATGTAATTCTTGTTCATAATTATTTACAGTTGAGGACTTGGGTAGAAAGAAACATTCGACTTGTTGGACCGGAGTGTAAGCCAAAGGTCGTAGGCGTCAATGACATGCTTTCCATTCAAATGTAGTATTTCGTTTCTGAATTAAATTAGAAATATATATCTCTGTCTCTCTGTGTTTATTGATAGTCACATATTTAACCTGTTACTTACCTAATGTCCCGGTAGCTGGTCCCCCGAGATAAAGTCTGTAGTTGTCTGATTCACCAGAAACAGAAAAGTGATGGTAACGTTCATACATGGTTGTGCCGTTTTTTAATGTAATGTAGACGTAGAGGGTCGAGTTCCTTCCGTTGGTAAGCTGATGAATCACGTCATTTCCTTTTATATATAATTATTCTAGTATATTTAGCATGAATAAACATGATAAAGAAAAACAATATTTTCAGTTCAGGGTCACCTTGCTTAAATACAACCAATTGAAATTAAATATTTGTGCAGAGATGTCATGCTCGTCAGCAGTCGACTTGATTTTAAGTAAAATTACACTCGGTTATAAGATATCTTTATGATTACAGGTATTTATAGCATGAGAAGGGCTATTTATATTAAAATGACAAAACATAGAAATCTGAAAGGTTACTTATTAAATAAATGTTCTTATCGTAACAAAAATACCTATCCAGTAAGACTCAGCTGGGTTCCCAAAACCTTTTTTGTATTCCGCCCAAGTTCTTTTAAAACCAACAGATCCGCTTGATCGTCTCTGAATAGCCTACATATTTAATGATATAATAATAATCATATATACATTTGTATAATTCATACTCATTTCTTATTTCAAAACATTAAACATATCTGTAGGCATAACTTCAAAATGAAAACTTTGCTTAATTACGAATACTTATTTTGTACATTTTAATTGGAATTTATTATCTCGAGGCTCCTATCTCTTCAAAGTGTACACATAAAATTACTTCAGCTAGTTTTAATAAAATTAGGTATACAAATGTCATGCTAATTCCACGCCAGATTTTATTTAGCCAAAAGGTGAAAAGTCGATATTCAAAGAGATTCCGAAATCAAAGTAGTATAATTTTAAAAGTAAGACATGATTTTGTAAGAGAGAGAGAGAGAGAGATCTTACTGTCCACCCTCCGTCCTCTGTTTCCATGTTACAGTACACTTTGAGTCTGGTCTCGTTACCAAAAGGATAAATAGTATATACCCCTGACTGTTTGGGTCCGGTAGTATACATGTAGAGATCCTGACAATCTACCAAACCTGAATGAAGACGAAATACATTTATGATATTGTATTAATCATATCAATCAATACACAAATCAAAATTGAGAGAGAGAGAGAGAGAAAGAGAGAGAGAGATGTACTTACATTTTTTGACGATTTGGATATCTTTATGTGTCTTGGTTTCATCATCCTCGAGGCTCTGCACCGTCTGCCTGAGGGAATCTACGGATTTTTGGATCCTCTCTTGTTGGATCAGAAGTTCTCGGATTTGTAACATTGTCTCGCCATAAATGGAGCAGCAAGTTTTTTCTTTCGAGTAAATGTACTGAGAACTTGTGCTCAAGAAGCTGCAAGCAAGGAAGGCTGCCAATACCATTGCCATGTTTCAATTTTCTTGTTGATGTCTTAACTAAAGTGTTTCTAGAATAAAGCGTTTTGGAATATATGCAGGGCTTTATATATCCCTGAACAGGGAAGTCTAAAATTTAACCAATGAATTAATTCAATACCCCCACAACCCCCCGCTCCTTCGAAAAAGAAAAAGTCAAACTTTACTGTTAAGCATAAAATAAAATTTTGAAATCAAATTATAATTCAAACATGTGATAAAGCATGGATCAGGCGCGTTATATCAGATAGGGACGGGTCAATCCCTCCACTTATTCTAAGTATATTTTTAAAAATATCATTATATGAATTCACAAAGTTCACGCAGTGAAACAAACACACACACATCAACAGTACACAGTGATTTTTGTAATACCTTTTATTCTTGGTACCACAATAAACAAAATATCATTAAAAAAGACAAGGCCCTCATCAAAATAGATTTAAAGATAAATTCATGGACAGTGGTATCTTGTTTTGTGTATCTTGTATAATGTTTTGATTCTAAAACTTAATAAATTGAAAATAAATCATTTCTACTATCCTTTCTTTTTTTCAGTATATTATTAAGATCTATCCAATTATTCACTGACAAAAAGAAAACAGAGAAATAAAAATAAATAGCGATTATAACTTTATTTGCTGACTATTCAATCATGAAATTAATTTGATTAAAATAAACAAACGAAGAAATCGAAGCTGATCAAAAATTTAGAAAAAGAATAGAATTTTCTCTGACAGAATGATTAACAAATTTTCAGCGTTTGTTATTGTATATTACAAAATTTAAAATTTATAACAAATTAAAATTTTCAGCATATTTAGCTCTATTGGTCAGAGACCAGAAGAGCTTATGCGATAGTAATGCGTCCGTCGTCCGTCCGTCTGTCTGTATGTAAACATTTTTAATATGCTACTCCTCCTACAGTTTTGGTCCGATTTCAATATAACTTGTCACACAAGTAGACTACACCAAGATACATAATTTTGTGCATCGGTTTTTGATTTCGATGAACGGTGTTGCTATGGTTACTAAAAATAGAAATTTATGTGAAATTCTTTCTGAATGCTATTGCTCCTACAGTTTTGGTCTAATTTCGATATAACTTGGCACACAAGTAGACTACACTAAGATACATAATAATTCTGTGCATTGGATTTTGCTTTTAATGAACGGTGTTGCCATGGTTACTAAAAATAGAAATTTCTGTGAAATTCTTTCAAAATGCAACTCCTCCTACAGTTTTGTGTCTGATTGCAATATAACTTGGCACACAAGTAGACTACACCAAGATACATAATTCTTTGCATCAGTTTTTGATTTCGATGAACGGTGTTGCCGTGGTTACTGAAAATAGAAATTTATGTGAAGTTCTTTCAAAATGCAACTCCTCCTACAGTTTTGGTCCGATTTCACTATAGCTTGGTACACAAGTAGACTACACTAAGATACATAACTCTGTGCTTCGGTTTTTGCTTTTGATGAACCGTGTTGCTATGATTACTAAAAATAGAAATTTGTGTGAAATTCATTCAAAATGCTACTCCTGCTACAGTTTTGGTCCGATTTCAGTATTACTTGGCACACAAGTAGACTATACGATGATTCATTATTCCGTGCATCGGTTTTATTTTGATGAGTGGCAAGGATCATTTTTCTATTTATTGCTGTTATAAAGTTTCAACCCAACTGCTACCTTTCTCTTCCTATGTTTTAAGTATAAACCAGTAAAGCTACAGTCTCGACAGAGACTTCTGGTTTTAAAATTGCTTAGAAGGATAGCATAGTGTTTAAAGTTAATCAACAATATCTAAATTTAATAATACAATTAATAATAAATCAATAAAGCATTAATTTTAAATACCGGAATAAGGTTTTGATTGATTGATTGTATATTGTTTAACGTCCCTCTTGAGAATTTTTCACTCATATGGAGACGTCACCGATGGCGGTGAAGGGCTTCAAATTTAGACCTATACTCGGCACTCAGGGCCATTGAGCAGTGAGGGTTCTTTATCGTGCCAACGCCTACCGTGACACGGGACCTACGTTTTTAAGGTCATATCCGAAAGACCCGTGACTTTCACTTCTAGTGCCGAGCGCTTGGCGAAGGAACAGTCACTACCTATGTTTACGTCTTAGGTATGACGCGGCGCCGCGATCGAGAATCGAACCCGGGCCTCCCGATCACGAAGCGAACGCTCTACCACTAGGCTACTGAGACCGGTTATTCATAAGATGGTTAAGATATTTGAGATCCATTATTTTCGGCATTTGAAGAAAAATGTTTAAGACCTACATCGAAATAAGATTTCATGGTTGTTCCTACTGCCTAATAAGGAAGACGTTTTCTTCATAAATATATTTTAGATCACTTGTAAAATTTTATTTTATTTTCCAAAACCATCAAAGTAAAGATTCTTTGGAAATTTTAAATGAACTCATATTATACAAAAGTACAAAAACACATAAAAAATACACAAGAACACATGAAATTGAAAGACTCAGAAGAGGCATAGTCAGGAGGAGCCCATAATTAATGCAATTTAAGGAAATATTAGTGCTGGCAACGAGTACCCGGTTAACCGTCAAACGATGCGAGTATCGGTTAGTAAAATTGCTATTCGGTTACTCGAATAAAAATACATTTTTTCATAGGAAATACGTATAAAATAATTTTTTTGTTATTTGTAAATGTATATTGAGACATTTCCCTGATTTAATTACCGTTAGGCTTGCTCTAGTGGTTCACTAATAGGATCGATTTATTTTGATTAGTTTAATTGATGACTTTAATTGCCAGGGGGGTACACGTTTTGAAGACCTGAGTTATAATTACCTCATTTAGACCCGTGTTAGTCAGAGGAACATACTTTAACAAAATGCTGCCGCAAACATGTAAATCGTGGAAATATTGTTAAAGAACGGCTGACTTGAAATCGGTCAGATGCAATTTATGTGAATCGGAGCTGTCGTATACGGTTGGAACTACAAATATGCTAAATCACAAAATTAGAAGATTAAGAACAATGGCTATAGAAGTTTTTAAAATTTTAAATAACGAGAGTCCTGCATATTTATCTGATTTATTTACTTTTGAAGAAACCTCATATAATTTTAGGAAAACTAATACAGTACAGGTACCTAGGGTAAGAACGACAAAACATGGATTACACTCTTTTAGATATGCAGGAGCCAAACTATGGAATGAACTGCCTGAAACAATTAGAAATGCAACTACAATTACTCAGTTTAAAAGTTTAATTAACAATTGGAATGGAGATTCCTGTAAGTGTGGCTCCTGCAAATCTTAATCCTCAGATCTTAATCCTCAAATCTTAATCTATAGTTCTGCTCCATTTCTTTTTAGTTCCTTTTATTTATTTATTTATTCATTTTGGTATTGTTCTTCTGTTTTAAGTTTATTTTGTTTTGTTTTCTTTAAAAGTGAGTAAATTTAGTAGTCATAAATTTATAGTATTAAAAATATACTTTTAGCTGAACAAATTTGCTGTATTTTTATCAGAATATAAAATATTTTTATCAAATATATAATTTATAGACTATATTTTTAGAGCATAAGTGCTACTTGGACACTCATTTATATTTATTTTCTGTGTTTGTCTTATTTATATGCATGATATATATGTGCTTTCTGTGTCGTTTTTGTGTGTATATGTGTAAATATTGCTTGTTGTGATGCATGACAATGTAATTCTAACTATTGTATATGTGTAGATAGTTATTTAAGATATGTAGTACTAATATAATGTCGGTCAAAAGCTCTACAGAGCTTATGTTTCTGTTATAAAAATCCCACTCAACATAAAATTTTCTGATTCTGATTCTGATCACATAAGATTGAAAAATAATTCGATTACCAGTGACTTGCATAAAACTCAACAAATATAACCAGTAACTGCAGAGTGTTAAAGGGTATGTTAATTTTTCTCGATCGCAACATATATCTTAATGCTTCAGGTGTCGAAAATATTATTATTCTTAAACAAAAACAAATTCCCATTTTCAAGTGACATATGAAATCAAAATTCTTCGAAGATATTGTGTTTTTGGAGTTTGTATTTGTAAATAAAGTTCATATTATGTAACATTTATTATTTACTTCTATCAATATGTAAAAGGATGATATAAATAATAAATACGGAAACTATAACAAAAAATCATCCGAGTAACCGGGTACTCAATCGGAAGATTAAGCGGGTAACCGTAAAAATCGTCCAATTTGCCAACACTAGGAAATATCACTTACTTCGTTAAGGAAAAAGAAGAATTAGAACACGGGACTTCAATTTCAAATACCTGCCATAATGTGTAAGGAATACGCTACATCACATTTATGAAGTACATATAATCCCAAAAATGATTTGACTGTGCAGGGCTGAAAAAAATTTAATGGAAGACATGCTCTTAAAATTGGTTCTTTCTGGGAAAAGTTTTAAAAAGGAATATGTTAATAGAGGAAATGATTAGCTAAATATCATTTTGCAGAGGAAAGATATTAATATATTTGATTTGATCATTGAATGCGCAACATTTTCATTCCTATACAACTTAAATTTTCCCTGTTCGCCTTTCTACACTACGTTTCTTTCCCATTTCGCCAAAAAAATTCGAATTCCTAACCTTTGTTACCCGCTTAAAAAAACCCCAATACATTTTAGATTTTTCTCTGATTTGGATATCTTCCTGTATGCATCTCTGATGATAAAGTTTTTGAAAACGTCAACGCAAAATTGTGGGTGAAGTAAGGATGTGGGCTCTAAGTCTCTTTTTAACAAACTGGGTTTAAATTTAATTAAGTGAGGATGGGGACTTGGTTGATTGCAGTGATGCAGTAGAAACTTGAGAGTGAGGGGTGCATTGCTACATACTTTTCATAAAAAAACCCGTAGACACTCATTGGAAAAAGCGGAATCAACCCTGGTGGTATAATCATTGAAAGAGTAACATGATACAAGTAATCGACATGAAAA